TTGCAGGAGGCTCGGTCTGTGCGACAGTAGTTGCAAGAGGCTCGGTCTGTGCGTCAGCAGTTGTAGGAGGCTCGGTCTGTGCGATAGAGTTGAGGAGGCTCGGTCTGTGCGACAGTATTGCAGGAGGCTCGGTCTGTGCGACAGTAGTTGCAGGAGGCTCGGTCTGTGCGTCAGCAGTTGTAGGAGGCTCGGTCTGTGCGATAGTAGTTGCAGGAGGCTCGGTCTGTGCGACAGTAGTTGCAGGAGGCTCGGTCTGTGCGTCAGTAGTTGCAGGAGGCTCGGTCTGTGCTATAGATGCAGGAGACTCGGTCTGTGCGACATCAGTTGCAGGAGGCTCGGTCTGTGCGACATCAGTTGCAGGAGGATCGGTCTGTGAGTCTTCAATCGTACCAGGCGAATTTGTTTGTGTGTCCTCAGATATAACTGGGGAATCCGGGGTCGATGTTTCGATATGCACGTCTGTTTGAACAGAAATTATGGTTATCTGTATTTCAATAGATTTTATATTAATACTGATCATTATTCACAAGCAAGCATCAGACTAACTATAACATCGAATAAAGAAAATCACGCCCGATATATAATTTGTGATTCTCTAAACTTTATTTTGCAAACTATAAACGCAACGTTATATTTTTGTGTTTAAGAGTTAATATTACTATCATTCATATTATTGTGTATTTTAAAATGTATCAAGACAGCAGTTCGTATGGTTTAATAAAGTGTTTCAAGTCAAAGACATAATGTGCCACACACACGCATTTATTTTACTGTCACTTTTTATACACAATTACCTAGCATCATCCTGATAGGTGTATAATATAAATAATTTGTATAATCAATTTCGGCTTATTGGTTATGGTTATCATGGTAAATGTTCGTTCAAACATTCAGTAGTATTGTTGTCATCTATTTGATGTACATCAATCATTCGATGAATCAGTCAAGTCTTTCAGTAGAGTTCTTTATGGTAAAAGCCTAATCACAAATGCAAATACCCAGAATTTATTTTACCATATATTGTACTCGAGGGCAAATAAGAATATTAACTTAAAAATACGTTCGGGGGTCACCGGCCTAATTTTGAAAAAAATGCTGATTCAATTTTAGTAGAGGCTATTCTGCTAGCATTATAACGCTTTTACCGTAGATTCATTTGGCAGAAATATTATGCCATATGTAAAAATGTAAGCTGGTGACATATATTGTAAATGATAGGAAATTAAAAAAAATATGTATAATAATAAATGCTATTTCATGATGCCAGGATACAATAGCTCCATGATTTTACATAATAAGCCAGTCAACATTGCTATGCGATTTATGAATAAGTCAAAAATTATGAGAAGGTATATCAACACCAGGTAATACACAATGCAGAACAGAGACACTGTTATATAGAATATATATATATATCTATATTCTGTCTGTGACACGAGGAATTGTATGAATAAATTTAGAATATATTTACACCGACTGGAAAGGCCTGATACTGATCTTGAATTGTAAGAAGGTGAAGGGGCGTCAGTCTGTAATTGGCAGACGTGAGGACTTCTGAAGTAGTTCCAAGATTTACACAGCACATCTGCGTCGCATAATTCGCAACATTGAACTAGGCCGTTGACCTCGTGAGCAGCATATACCTGCCCAACTCGCCTAGTTTTTCTCTCGTACTTAATTTTACGTCCTGTACAGAATTACAACAAAAAGTCAAAATGATATTTAGTGTAAAGTCAACTAATGTAATTTACTTTGTTTACCAAATTATTCTATAGTTATTATTATAATATACTAGAGAGAATTCTATAGCTAAAATTATAAATTAAAAAAAAGGTTTTATTTTACCAGCGGCACTGTAATCAATTAGAATAATCTGAAAGAGACAAAAGTAAATATTTAGTAGAAAAACTTTGTGACAACTGTGACAGAAAAGTAATAACAAATGTGTTATTGAAATGGATTCATTATTTTCCGGAGGGATTTCTTATTAATTCGAAATAGTATTATTTTTACTATTATTTCGGCGAAGTGAGTAAAGTTTGGAATGGCCAGGAAGTCTGTGAACATAATATCACTATAAATCCAAGCCAGGACAGTCATCTCTTAATAAATATGTTACTATTTGTGTTCTGTAATGCTGTGGCGATTAGCTGGTTATTGAAATAAGACTGCTGTGTTTTACGTGCATTTGGAATACAGTTTTTACGTCTCCTGGACTTGACGTTACATTCACAACAATAAATTCTACAAGTTTAGCAACTGGGTAGTATGTATTTTTT